ATACATTAAAAAAGAAAGATATCTAGGATTAGAAGTGAAATCTTTACTTTGCATGCAGTTGGGACCAGGCAGAAATGATGGGGATCTAATTCTTAGTACTAAGACACTGCCTCAGAACACTGTTATTTCTTACAAACAAAGAGTTTCAAAGTAGAGTAAATTTGCAATTTTACTTTAGTCCTAATCCTTATTGAGCTTATAGCAGATCCTCCTTTTTGGCATACAAATGACCTGACAGTAATACACTTGAGTGGAAGTCCAGAACATGTTCATTTCAAACTGTTGTATATGATACCTAAACAAAGCCAACATAACCAATTACTTCAATAATCTTTAAGAATAATGTGTTACTGCCAGAAAAGGAAGTTAATATAAAATGCATGAACACGATACTTCAACTTGCACACTGATAAAATCGATGCTATGTTGCACCTGATATTTCTATTGATAATTTCTCTATATGTTATCTATATACTTAAATTTCTTATATTGTTATGTTACAATATAATATATTTTATTACCTCCAAATACATGTGAAATTGTTGTTCAACAATCTTTATTTATGTATTGATCCTTTAAGCTAATGTTTCCACAGTCAGTGGTGTCAGGGACAGAGAGGAGGGGGCAGTCCTGCAGGCAAGCATGGCAATTTGTATTTAAGTCACATGCTGAAGCCACTCAAATGTCCGTAACTTGAGATATGTCCCATTTTCTTTTCTGCGTACTTGCGTTATCACGGTGAGGACATATGGAGCTGACATGTGCCTTTACAAGGAAAAACATTTACACAAAGAAGAACCAGACAGTTCTGGTTTACCACTGAGTGTGTCATTAAGCTTCCCTTCGCAAGTTCCAAAACTTGGCTATTCAATTAGTAATATGAGTTTATTTTGATAGTATTTCCACATGTTCCACTAATGATACGATAATAGGACAAATTATAAACATCCAACTGAGGAGAGATATCATTAGATATCTTGATGTGGATACTTTTAAGCTCTAGGAGAGGGAAAATTCAAGTTGTATGTGTGGTTTTATAAATAAGTGTTCGATGTGGGTAAATGTCGTTATTAATAGTCTTCGGAATATGCTGTTAATAGGCTTACATAGGCTGTTTAAGAATGTGCCCGCACAAATTCTGTAAAGGTACGAGGACTGATGACGTCCACAGCTACGACATACACACTCAAGGTAAAATATGTTTAAGTCTATCAATCATAATAATAAATTGAGTATCAAGTAAAATAATTAAGCACGTCTCAACATGCTCAGTAAACAGAGTCATGAGCAAACTTCGGTGATGTGACTAAGAACTTAGAGGTACACATGTCTGCATCCTCGCTTGGGCCCCCACTTGTGAAATAAAATTTGTGAAGAATTTTTTTCCCTTCTCCCCCCCTGAAGGGTATATTTTCCTAAGGTTAACAATAAGAGAAAAATGACTACTGATCTGCAGGACATCAAATACTTGCCTTTTGTAATGAAGCTTTTCAAGTATAAATTTAGCTGCGAGTACATATGTTCTTCACGTTTCCTCTCTATCAACACTTCAAATGTTCAATTATCACCTTTTGTGAGCGTCAGCTTAACGAAGAATGTTTAATGAAGGAACAATCAAATAGTAATATATGATAAATAAAATTTAAATTCTTTTAAAACCAATTCCATGGTGGCTGTATCTAAAGATTTAATGTAGAAGAAACATATACTATTCCATATTTCCAGCATTTCATATTGAGAAAATAGACTAACTTTGAAGAAATCATACTTGTCATCAGATCTATTCCATACATCTTACGCGAGAAAGGTCTACATCTTACTAACACCATAATGCAGGAAGACTCTGCAACAAATTGAAAGAATATGTCAGATTTATAAACAGATCATAAGGTTTTCTTTAAATATAATCTTTTTTTTATCAAACATAAAATCCAATGATTCTTTCATTAGCTACTTCCCCCTCCTCGGCCCCAACATATTACATCATAGATTTAAGCCTAATTATAGGATCATAAATATCACATTGTATTAATATAATGTTATTAAGTGAAAGTAAAAGATAGAAAGCTCCAATATGTATGAAATGTATTATCTTTTAAACAATGGATTAAAACAAGAAACATGAAGAGTGTTTTTGCTTACTGTGCTGGTTGCCATTCATTACTGACAATTTTGTAATCAACATGCAAAGTGTAGCAATGTGCTATCAATGGTACTTTCCATCGTGTAAAAAAACCAGTGAAAGATGCTATTTAAAAGGGAGTAACTATGACACACTGAGGAAGGAAATAGCGAGTATGTAAACGCATGAATCAACCGATGCTCGTGGTTCGCAGATCAAATCATCAAAATGTCTGATACCTACCCAATAGCTTACAGATTCAATGGAATACTATTAAATCCCATCAGTCATTCTCACAGATTAGGAAAAAATAATTTACGTTCGTATGGAGTCAAAGAAGACCCGATTCAAGACAATTCTGGCAGACAATAACAACCATGGGAGGCAATATGCCAGATTCAAACTATATACCAAAGCTGTAGTAATTAAAAAAGTATGGTATTGGCACAAAATAATATTGACCAGTGGAACAGCATTGAGAATCCTGATTAAAACCTCCTGCCATATAACTCTCTCTTGACAGAAGCAGAAAAAACATACGCTGGGGAAAGAATACCTCTTCAATAAATGGTGCTGGGAAACTGGTAGCCACCTTAGAAGGCTTAAAACAGGACCACACTTTCACCTCTCACAAAACCAACTCATGTGTGATAACAGGACTTAACCTAAGGTATGAAACTATTAGAACTCTAGAGGAAAAAGTGGAACACTCTCCTAGACATCGGTGGGCAAAAGAGTTTAGAAGAGTCCCCAAGGCAATCACAGCAGACAAAATAAACAAATGGGACATGATCAAACTACAAAGCTTCTGCCAGCCAAAGAATGTCATGAAAGTAACAGACAACCCTACAAGAACTGGGAGAAAATTTTTGACCTATGATCCGATAAGGACTGGTACTAGAATATACTTAGAACTCATAAATTAGGAAAAAAATCAAATACCCTAAAGTGGCACAAGGACTTGAACAGAAATTTTCTAAGAGACAGAAGAATGGCAAAAAATTGAGAAATGCGTCAAACATCTCTAAATCATCAGGGAAATCGCAAATGAAACCAAATGAGATATCACTTAACCCAGTGAGAATGGCCGTATATCAAAAATCTGCGATACAATAAATCGCTGGCGGTGGTTGCGGATGGAGAGAGGAACAGCTCTTACCTGTTGGTGGGATGCAAACTAGTTCAACCTCTGTGGGAAATGAATATGGACGATACCTTAAAGCATACAAGTATCCCATTTGATCAGCATCTCAGTTGCTGGGATTACCGCCAAATGATCCAAATACATCTACAAAAAGAACCTGCACCGAATGTTTATGCAGCAAATTCATAATGCAAAGTGTGTGGAACAGCCAAGTGCCATCATCCAAGAGTGGATTAATAATGTGGTATATGTTACCATGGAGTACTATTCAGCTTAGAAACATGGTGAGTTCGCAATTTTATTTTCCTGTTAGAGCTGCTGAACCATTATAATGAAGTTCCCAGAATGGAAACAAGCACAGACTATATTCGCCAAGCAAAATGTATTAACTGAGTAGCATAAGTGGACCATAGTCTAAGTAATAGGGTATTGGGCAGGTGGAGGGGGCAGGGTATATCTACATAATGGTGGAGATGTGCACCATCTAGGGATGCATGAATGGAGACTCCAGATCTTTTGGGGGGAGGGGGAATGGTCATATTACTTGAACCCTGTAAATCTTACCCATAATATGCGAAAAAAAAAAAAAGTAAATAATAACTAAATGCCAGTGATTCTTAGTATTAAATCTACGAAAATTCAGGAATGGATGGGATGATTTAGTTATGATATTATCTGGGGAGGTATGATTTTGAAGATATTAGGACTTGAGCAAGCGTATTAATCGGGATATAAAAACTTGACTTGAGGAACACAATGGAACCATCTCATTGGAAGAATTTAGACGGGGAAGCAAAGAGATTAAGTCAATTTAACTGTAAAGGGCCTAAGATGAGAAAACTACATTTGAACGCAGAATATTTGAAGAGTAATGCACTACACCTAGAAGAAAATATACTGAATTCTGGTGTTATTAAAAATAAGACCATAAAGGACGGTGAATGAACATAGTAGGGAGGTTAGGTATGCTGAGAGCAACGCCTTCTCTCTTTATTAAGTATTGAATACCAGTTATTGGATGCTCGCTATGTTCTAGGCTTTATGTAATTATCACTTTTAATCTTAAAAGCACTATTTTGTTGTCGAAAAAATAGGTTTAATGAGATTAATCTGGTAAGTGATGAATTAAAATTGAAACCCAGGTCTGTCTGACTTCAAAATTTGTCTGGTTAACTATTAATCTAATGCTGTCAGTTTTGTAAAACCACTATGTGCAATTTTAATGAGCTTATCAGATTTGGTGCTTTCTAGTATACTTATGAAGTGTTTGGAAGAGTACTTTTAGTTGTTACCAAACACTTGTAGGTTATTTAAACTATTAAACTGTAAAATACATCCAGCTCTGTGATAGTTACATTACTGTTAAGTAGAACCAGAACATCTAGAATGGAAACTAGTAAGGGCATTTCAATTTGCATTACATTCCTTTTTGGAACTGTTTGCGTAGTTGTTTAAAGGTACTTAATACCTTGATATGTAGTAATATGACTGTTAGAAAAGTTGAATAAAAAATGGCACAGATACCCTAATGAACAAAATGATTAATGTTCATAATAGGAACAAAAGGCACAATTCTGGCTTACATAACTTTGATTGTGACTTCTTCATATAATCAGCAAAGAGCTTTCTAGCTGAAATTGATAACTTTGCTTCTGGGAACTTTGGGCCAGAGAGGAAGCCTTTCCTCCAGTTTTGTTCTTGTTATGGCAGAGTTTAAACTCAAGTTTCCTTATTAAGTTATAGTGTAAAAGAAACATTTGCCTTAGAAATACCTCAAGACAGAGCACCTTACTTTCATGTAGTTGCAAACAAAAATATAACTCTGTGTTATTTTATTCTATACTTGGCCTATCTTTTTTCATCATATACCAGCCAAATTTAATAATTTTTTTACTTTATGGAAATATACTTAGTGGCTAAGTTTTCAGACAAAGTCATCTTTTAGGCAGAAAAGGTGATGCACATCTGTATTGACAGCTTAATATTTTTCTTGTGTAATTTATTAAAGTTTTAAGTTCGTAGGCCAGATTTAGGACTGCTTCTTTTTTTATAGCAATGAAGTTGAAAGAATGGTGGAAAGGCATGAACGCTTTAAACCTGAGATGTTTGCAGAATTGCTACAAGCAGCAAATACGACAGATGACTATAGGAAATGTCCTGTAAGTGTAATTTGGAGAATATTAGAATGCTTATATGTTTGTAAGTTTGAAAATAGACATTTGGAAATTATCATGTAAATATTCTCATACAGAATTTTTAAAAATATTAGATAACTTTATACCATGTGAGCTATTTATCTTAGCATTGTGTTTCTTTAAAAAGTCTTAATTTTGTGAAGGATTTAAGGTAGCATATATTGAATCTTTTCAAAGTTCTTAAATTTGTCATTTGACTAGAGAGAAAGTTTCTTTTTTTAAGTGAACATAATAAATTTTATTTTCTCATCTAATATTGTTAATGACTACAAGGGCTTTATTTCTGCTTTTTTTAGGTTGAATTCTTGTTTTAACAAATTTACAAAAATATCAAAGAATTTTTTTGATTTAAAATAAACTCATTTAATCAATAATTAAAACAAGTAGCTTATTAGAAGTCAATTTTTAGTATACTGAAGAAGTAAATTTCAGATATATGTTAAGATTGTCATTGTATAATACAAACTGTATAAGGCATTGCCTGTGCTATATTTTTTGATAATTACAAAACTTGCCTTCTGTGTTTTTTTTGTAGAGTAACTGTGGCCAAAAAATAAAAATTCGCCGTGTTTTGATGAATTGCCCAGAGATTGTTACAATTGGTTTAGTTTGGGACTCTGAACATTCTGACTTGACAGAAGATGTTGTTCGGAATTTAGCAACACATCTTTATCTTCCTGGGGTATCTTAACCTTTTTTGTTCTTTTCTCTTTTTTATTTTTAAATTCCTCTAAAACATCTTCATATATTTTGATACTCTTAGTTCTGTTTTTCAGAACTAAATTTCTTCCTAAGGGAAATAATATTTAGATGTACTCTAATAAAGATTAAAGGGATCAAATCAGGCTAAGTGAAATGCTTTCTTGCATAGACTAGGAATGTCTTTCAGTTACAAACTAAACTATCTCATGCTCTTTCCCTCTTTTACTCCACAATGATGATGATGATAGATTATTTTTAATATGTATGATCATGATTATAAATACAAATATTAACATTTTATCTAGAAAAGTTTAAGATTTAAAATTCGACTACAACAGTGATCTCTTTATATGCTTGTTTACTTCCTTAATACATTTTGAATTTGTTGATGTTACAATAAAAATTTTTGATGATTATCTGTTAAATAATGTATTTAATGTGTATTTAAATATATTTAAATATCTGATTCAATCAAGAATTACTAGAAATGTGCAGTTTATCTCACATTTTGAGTTTATATCTGTATGTAAAATGTCAGTCATATATTTAGATGCTTTATTACTAATTTGTAGTGAATTCATCTTATTAGACTTAAAGCTCCTATAGATGAATTAAAAGTAGTAATTCTGGTAACAGTACCATGTTAGTGGTGCCTTGAGAAATATATTACTGGATTGGGGCAGTATGCATGAGAGACTTTTTCGTAATGATTCATCAAATTATTGTTACTCATTTGTTAAAAGATACAGTATTAAATGTATATTACTAATTTTTTAAACAGCTTTTTTATAGAGTTACTGATGAAAATGCCAGGAATAGTGAACTTCACCTTGTTGGTGTCATCTGCTATACCAGCCGGCATTATTGTGCCTTTGCTTTTCATACCAAGAGTTCCAAATGGGTATTTTTTGATGATGCAAATGTGAAAGAGGTCAGTGACACTTTCACTAACTGGAATTGTTACTGTGGAATAAATGGATATAATGATATAATGGAATAAATGATATAATGATACCAAAATTATATTCTGTAAAATAATAATAGATGAGCATAATGATAATTATTAGTTTCAGACTTCCTTTTATTCTTTAACTTTATTTTGTAGCTAACTTTCAAACAAGCGCATTTCTAGACTAATAGAAGTTGACTAATGAATGTTAGGGATCATACGTAACTGTCAGTGATCCCTATGTCAGCAATACAGAGTTACAGTATATATTTCTTTGTGGATGATTCACTATAGTTTTATATAACTGGTGATAAAAACATGCTAGTCTTTTTCTTTTTTAATTCAGAATATTACGGGGGGTACAAGTGTTTTTATTTACATGGATCGCTTTTGTAATGCTTGGGTCAGAACTATGAGTGTGCCCATCTCCCACATAGTGTTCATTGTACCCGTAGGTAGGTTTTTGCCCATCTCTTCCTTCTTACTCCCCCCACTTGATTTCCACTGTGTTTTACTTCCCTTCATGCACATGTGCTCATTGGTTAGTTCCAATTTAATAGCGAGAACATACGGCGTCTGTTTTCCTTTCCAGAAGTGAAAAGGAAAGGAAAAATAAATTAATTAATTAAAAGGAAAATGGTCTCCTGTTCCATCCAAATTGTTGCAAAAGGCATTAAGTCATCCTGAGTAGTATTCCATGGTATACATATATCACATTTTGTTAATCCACTAATGAATTCGTTGGCACTTGGGTTGATTCCACATCTTTGCAATTGTGAATTATACTGTTGTAAAGTATTACCTTCATAATGATGGTAAATTATTCCTAGACTAAAGGTTGCTCTGGACCTGACATTAAAAAGCTTAAAATGAAGCCTAACACCCAACAATGTCAATTCAATAAAATTTCAAAATGCCATTTCAAAATGGCATTCAATAAAAAAAAACAAAAAACCAAATATGTAAAGAAGTACGAAAATATGACTCATAACCAGAAGAAAAGTTGCTGAAAACAGATGAGACATGACAAAGATGGAAATGTCAGACATGGATATTAAAACCACTATTTATATATAGATTTCTTAGATAACATTCAATATTTTATGAACCATACAAATAACTGATAAAGTAGACTCCATCAAAACTTGAAACTTTTGCTCTTCAAAGATACTATTAGGAGAAAGAAGTGAGAAGCCATAAGGACTGGAAGAAAATATTTGTCAAACTCATGTCTAATAGTGGCTTTATCTAAAATATTTAAGGATCTCTAACAATTCAATAACAAAAAGACAAACCCAATAAAAAAAATGGCCAAAAAATTTTGCCAGTTTTGTTGGTGAAGATATATGAATTGCCCGTGAAATGATATTCAATTTTAGCCACAAGGGAAAATACAAATTTAATTCACAATGAGGTTCTAGTACTCACCCATTGTAATAGCCAAAGTTTAAATAGCCATAACCAAGAGTTGGCCAGGATGTGGAACAGCTAGATCTCTCACATGAGGCTGATGGAACTGTAAAATTGAACAGTTGCTTTAGAAAACAGTCTGCCAGCTTCTTTTGAGTTTAAACATACGCATACCAAACAGCCCAGCAGTTTCACTCCTGTGAAAACGTGTCATCCACATAAAACTTGTACTTGAATATTTGTGGTAGTTTTCTTCATAGCAGCCAAAACTGTCCCACAACAGGTGAATGGATAAACAAATTGTGTTATAGCTACACAGTGGATAACAATTGTGTTATAGCTTATACATCAATAAAATGGACTGAAGTGTATCGATACATTCAGTCATGTGAACAAAGAAGCATCATGCTAAGTGAAAGAAGCGAGATGTAAATGACTGCATACTATGATTCCATGTATATGGAATTCTGGAAAAGGAAAAAACAAAGGTATAGAAAATAGATTGGGGTGAGGATTACATGATTGTATATATTTGTCAAAACTCACCCACTTACTAGATAATTTTATGTTATCTCAATAAAGCTGTTGAAAAAATTTTGGTATTCTAAAATCTATACTTTGCTTAAATTAGCACTTGATATAGGAGTTTATTAAGAAGTTCTTTCTTGAGTCAGAGTGTAGCAACATTTTGGAGTTCCTACTTTGCAGTTTAAATTGTCAAAATTTAGAGGAAGAATGGGGTGTATAAATCACTCCATGAGGTTTCTTGTTTTTTGTTGTTTTTTTTTTAAATTGACTCCTCAGGTCTCAGAATCCCAGATGAGTAGGGTAAACAGCTGAATATGTGTAGTCTGAAAAAGCTCCTTGAGGTTTTTTTTAAAGGCCTTTTCCCTGTAAAAGTATTCTAGAATCTCTTACGGGTTTTTTTTGTGTGTTTGGTTGGTTTTGTTTTATAAATCAACTTTATAGAGGTATAATTTACAAACATTAAAATGTACCTATTTTAAGTATACAGTTTGGGTTTTGATGAATGTGTTCAGTATACAGAACATGTTCATCACCCCAGAAAAATTGCATTGTGCTTCTTTGCTGTCAATTCCCCTACTCTACTCCAGGCCCAGGAAATCCCTGTTGTCACTAATTTTACATAATAGTCTCTTACAGTATGTTTTTGGCTTTCTTCCTTTAGCATAAGGTCTTTAAGATTCATTCATTTCATTTGTGTCAGCGCTTCAATTTTATTGTGTTCCATTTCATGGCCATACAACAATTTATCCATTTGCCTGTTGAAGTGTGAACGGTCTTTGTGTGAACATGTTTTTTTCCATTGCTCTTACATAATATGCAGAAGTGGGATTCCTGGGTTGTATGCTAAGTGTATGTTAAACTTTACAAGAAACTATCAAATTGATTTCCAAAGTGAGTGTAACCAGTTTACATTTCCTGCAAGCAGTGCACAAGAGTTCCTGTGTTCCACATTCTAGGCAGCACTTTATGTTGATTGTCTTTCATTTTAGCCTGTCCTGTGGATGTATATTACCTCACTATAGCTTTAATATGCATTTCCCTTGTGATTGGTTTTGACCATCTTTTCATGTGCTTATTGCTCAAATGTTTAGCCAATATTTCGTATTATCTTCTTGTTAATGAGTTGTAGGATTTGTTCTGCATACTCCTTAGGTATATGTTGCTTTTTTCAATTTCTTACTGGTGTCTTTGCAAGAGCAGAAGCTATTAATTAACTTTGATGAAGTCCATTTTATAATTTTTTTTCCTGTGGTTTGTGTGGTATCCTATCTAAGAAATCTTTGTCTTCCCCCATGTTATAAAGATTTTCTCATTTGATTTCTTCTGTAAGTTTCATAGTTTTTATGTGATCTATTTTGAGTTAATTTTTGTTTTTATAGGGTATAGGATTAAAGTTCTTTTTCTCATATGGCTGTCCAGTTATTCTGGCATAATTTGTTGAACAGACTCTTTTATATTTCTCCATTGAATTGCCTTGAGATCTTTGTCAAAAGTCAATCAACCATGTATTTGGAAATCTTCTAAAAATTGATGATTAAGACTTGTTATAGAAAGTCTGTAATCTTTTCCCATCAATTTTTTAAATGATAATGTTTAAAAGATTTTTATTTAGACTATTTACTAAATATAATTAATTCTTATATAATATGGTGGACACAAGAACTGATAGCATCTGAATGTCTTTAAAATTTTTTAAAATACAAACTTGAATTCAGAGTCTCTGACTTTCATATAATACATTGGATTACAAGTGTGTGTGTGTGTGTGTGTGTTTATTTTAATTCACTGTGTTTTTTTTTTTTTAAAGATTGGAACTAGATGGAAAGATGTTGTCTCCAAGTGTCTCCGATGCCACTTTCAGCCACTGCTTTTGTTTTATGCAAACCCAGATGGCACAGCAGTTTCTACTGAAGATGCACTTAGGCAGGTTGTCAGCTGGTCACATTACAAGTCTGTTGCAGAAAATATGGGTAATTCTTTTCTTTTTTAATTTTTCAGTGTTTTCTATTTAACTAGGAATATTAATATACTGGATATAAAATGAATGTTCAGGATAATTTCAAGTGCAAGTTTAAGTAAAGTGGAGTTCAGGAAAAATGTTAGTATTTGTTGTTAATCTTTAGAAAGGAACCTTTCCTCATCAGTGGCCTCAGAAGTACTTTCAGGAGTCACCTACTGTTAGAGTCACACAAGCACGGAAGAGGCTGCTTGGCTGGTAGCTCTTTCTAGCAGTAAATTTTAAGCGATTTAGTAAACTAGGAAAAGTCCAAAGCAGTTAGGCCATACTTGGATGCATTGCAGAGCATGTAGAAATCTTTAAGCAATGTCAGCCCTCTAAGTTTTAGGTAATTTTGTCTATAGTTAAAAATGTCTGAAACAATGATTCAAATGTCTCTTCTACTGATGGGAAGGGAATGATCCATTTTTATCTTTTGCAGGATGTGAAAAGCCTACAGTTTATAAGTCAGATAATTCAAAAGAAAATGGATTTGGTGATCAGGCAAAACAGAGAGAAAATCATAAGTTTCAAACTGATAATATTTCAACATTTAATCGGTGCCACATTCAGACAAGTGGAGGGAGAGGACCAGGTAGGTATCTATATTGTTATTTTTACATTGTTCCTGACCAGCTAAATGTCCTCCTTTCTTCACTTACTGGATGGTGCTTAACTAGCTTTCCTTGGCCAGAAGAGAAAATAACAAGTAGATAACAAAATTTGGTCTTTGATTTCTGTGTTTCTCGGAGAGCTGTAGTTTTCCTGACCAGTTTGATTCGACAAGTGGTGTGAGGTTCTCTGTGTGCTCAGAACTGTGGAAGGCCTGAGGTAATCGGGACAGTTACCAAAGGAAGCTATAATGTAGCTTTTCCTTCAAGGAGTTAATAGTCAATTTGGAGAAGAAAAACATGAGATAATAATTTGGCATATACACCAAAATTAAATTTACTGTTAGTGAATGCAACAGTAGTTCAAAGTTACTGTAGCTGTAGATTGTTCTTGATCTTATTTTTATTCAACTCTCTCTCGTCATCATTCCGTGACTTTCATTTTCACAAGCCAACTTCTGTGACTTGGGTCAAAGTGAGACATCACAGTACTGTGTGTATCTGCGGTTTAGAAATACTAAAACTCTTAATTGTGTGGATGTTCAGGATGATTTTATAAGCAACTTATTTAAATATATAGTAATGAAATAATGTCTAGCCACAAAAGTAACCCATTCAATCAAGGGTAGTAAGATCCATAGTTAGCAATTATCATCCACAAAGAACTACAATAAAGACTTTTAAAAATTCTTAATGAAACTATAACTTTTTTTCCTTTCATAGATTGTTGATACTCTTTAACACATTTTTGTTTTTCAAAAGACACCTACTTTTAAGTCCCAAAACAGTGCGTGTGTGTTTGAGAACACAAGCATTGGAACCCGATAACTTGGGTTTATATTCCAGTTCAGTACTTACACCTGGGCAAGTTTCTAATTTCTTTCTGCCTCAGTTTCTGCACCTGAAATGGAGGTAATAATGGTACCTTACCACAGAGGTTTAAGTGACCACTCAGTTACCTGAAGCTCTTGTTATTTTAATGGCAGGTCTCTTTTAATTCCTTTGTACTTGCTTTAGGGGCCATACAAGAACTTTTAAAACACAACATGCATCTCCAGTGTCAGGAAAAATCATGTCGCATTTTTTTCATTAAGCATAAAAATGAGCTCATTGTTTACTTTAATTAATGTTGTATGTTTAATATGTAACATCTTAAAATTTTTATATAGTTCAGTTTTTACTTTTGTGGAGCAATTTGAAAAATTATCTGTATTATTATAAGAATGATTTCTTTTGCAGTTAAATTAAGTCACATTGATCAAAGGGATAAGATGAAAGACATTTCCAGAGAATGTGCTCTAAAAGCTATTGAACAGAAAAACTTACTTTCTTCACAAAGGAGAGATTTAGAGAAGGGACAAAGAAAAGATTTAGGCCGACATAGAGGTAAGTTAAGAGCTTATAACATTCATTTAAAAAAGGGCTGCTAAAAATCTTATTTTAAAACTGAATTTTATAACTTTAATATAATTTCTGTGTCTATATGTTATATTTACATATTTCTAAGTATGATTTCTTAATACATCTATACTAAATCTAAAAATGTGAAATTTTTCTAGTCCTTATTTCATTCTAGCCTGGGATACTTGTGTTTTGTATTTTGATGTTTTAAACTTTATTTGTAGATGTAATTCACTCATATGGTACATTCAAATAATTAAGGAAGGTTATAAAATTAAGTGAAAAGAGCTCTTTTCCAGCTATCCCTGACCTTCCCTCTGTTTACTGTTTATAGTTTACAGTTCATATAAGCATGTTTTGCTTTTGAGGGTTTAATTCACTTTTCTTTATGGAGATAGCATATAATTTAACTGTTACTGAGCGACTTTAAAGAATGATTTTAGATTTTTCCTGGAGAGACATCCTTTCACATATACCTTTGAATATTTTTTGTTTATAGCTATAACATAAAATTCTTTTAGAGGAATTGCTGGCTCAGGGTATGTTAATTTTAATTTTGACTGATGTGACTCAGTTGCCTTCCTGAAATATTGAACCAGCCGGCACTCCCACGAACAGCAATTGGATGTCTGTTTCTTCACACTCTCCGCCCTTGATTTAACAAACTTAAATCTTTACCAGTGTAAAAGGCGGAAAATATTTTTTATGATTTTTGTTAATTCTGAGTGAGATAGAATGCTTATTTTTTAAAAACTACTTTAAGTATATTATTAAATTATTTTTTCAAGTTCTTTTATACCTTTATCAGTGCCTTCTCATTAAACATAAAGAGGGAATGAAAAAAGCACTTTTTAATCTCAAAACAGTATGTGATATAATTCACTTTTAATTATTACTTAATCTAAAACTGCTTAACATTTCTTCTCTAATAAGATATTTGGCTTGTGACTAAAAAGTGGTTCTGAGGAATAGTTTGTGTTTTTTTTTTTTTTTTTTTTTGGTTTGTTTTTAAGATTTGGTAGAAGAAAACCTTTCACATTTCCGGTCCGGGTCCCCTCCTGCCGTAAATGGCTTGAGACAACATGGGAATCCACATGTATATCGTAGTCAAGGAAAAGGACCATGTAAACATGATCGAGTTACCTGCCAGAGTCGGGCTTCTGCACAAACAATAAGTTCAAGTAAAGCCCAGGTCCCTGCTCCGGGAGAGAAGACAACTGGCAAAGTTAAGAGTGACTGTGGCACTGGATACGATACTGACAGCAGCCAAGAGTCTAGGGATAAAGGAAGCAGCTGTAATAGCAACAGCAAAAGCCGGAACCGAGGTTGGAAACCTATGAGAGAAACGCTAAATGTTGATAGTATTTTTAGTGAAAGTGAAAAAAGACAGCATAGTCCGAGACATAAATCAAATATCAGTAACAAACCTAAATATAGCAAAGATCAGAGTTTTAATAATTGGCCAAAAGAGAATCCGAAGCAGAAAGGTTTAATGACCATCTATGAAGATGAAACGAAGCAGGAAATAGGAAGCGGAAGTTCCCTTGAATCTAATGGAAAAGGAGCAGAGAAAAATAAAGGCCTCGTGGAGAGTCAAGTTCATGGTGATAACTGGCAGATGCAGAGGACCGAGTCTGGCTACGAAAGCAGTGATCATATCAGTAATGGATCTGCTAATTTGGACTCACCTGTCATTGATGGAAATGGTGCAGGAGTGGATATCAGTGGTGTTAAAGAAACAGTATTCTTCAGGTAATATATAAGTTGAATGAATGATTTTCCACCCACCATCCTTTCTTGTTAATTATTTGAAGTAATTCTTAAAATTTAGGTTAAGTATAATGGAAATAGCATGAGCTTAGCATAAAGAAACCTGAGATATTGCAGTTTATTTAATATTTCAGATTTCTGTTTTTAGTAGTTAATTCCAAAAATAACAACTGATTATTTTTAGTAAATTTGGAAAGTGCAGAAATATATGACTGTTTTCATCACCATAAACTACTGATGTGTACTACAGGTTTTAAAGCATAGACCTAAGTTGGTTTCATCTCAGTCATTAAGCTGATTGTTTACTTCTTCAATCTATTGTAATTCAGAATTGGGGCTGTTTTCTACTGTCAGTTCCATAGAAGAGATATTTTCCTTTTAACAAATACAAAAGAATTCAGACAAATAACTAAATCTCTGTTCAATTAATTAATTCTAAATACATTTATTATGTTACTGTTGGCAGTACATTAACACTTTTCTATGTAACCTTTGAAACATGCCCACAGCTTAGTGGTTGATTTTTGTGGTCAATCTAACCAGTTTTTCTGCTTGATATTCTTCTAAACATTAATTTGATATTAGCTGGTATTTGACCACATTTGTTATTAAAGGGTAGATTTGCAAAAAACAACTGTTCATGTTTTATTAAAATAATTGTTTCAATAAAGACTTGAGGAAACATTTTTTACTTGGCAGAGTAATTTCATAGCACCCCTTAAAAAGGGGTAGCCTGGGGTAGAAGAACTATGTAACCAGATAGATGTAGATTTTAATTATTAGGCAAATTAATTTGACTTTTGCAGCCTTACTCTTCTATTGTAAAATGAGGATAACTACTTTTAAGTGTTGGTGAGATGTAAATTAAATAATGTACATTAATCCCTCCCACTGTATGCATTTAGCATACAATAATTGCTTAACAAATGTTGTTTTCTTTCTTTTTCTTAGGATGACTAAGATAATCTGTGTTTGGCATGTGTTTTGCTTTATTTTCTAGTGACCAGATTAAGACAAACAACCTAAATAACGAAGGCATGGACTCTATATCCCTTCAGAGCAAAAACCACTTAGAAGGTAGGAAGTTCATATAAATATATTGTAATAGTGGCAGTAAAGAATAAATTGCAGTAATTTGTTTCTTGTTGTGATATACCTAAGACAGAATCGTATATAGATGGCTATAAAATTATTCTAAAATAACTTTAAAATATAAACATCCATTTTTATTAGGTTAATGTATCATATTTTAATAAAATATATGTAGAAAGAAGGAAATCATTCTTTTTGTATATATTTTATCTATGCATGCTATATTTTCACATTTGGTGCACAAAGTTAATACTGGTTTTGTATCTCACTTTTTATTTGCTTAAGTAAATACTGCTTTTGAAGTTTGCAGCCTTTTAGAATGTGCTTTTAGAATACATCTTTAATGTTATAGTATTAATAGCATTACATTGCTTACCTTTTCTATTTAGATGATGAAATCTTTGAGTCATTTTTTTCCTTCAGTAGCAGCTTGCATTTTAAGTTTCTATAGTAGAGACCCTGGAACAATGATTTGGGATTCAAGCAGGCAGGAATGTCAGTCTAACTGTGGCAGGGTAACACTTTACTTTTACTTAAGAGAAGGTACATTTCTGTATTTGCAAAGAAAAAGGTCATGATCTAATTGTTTAGAAACCGTGATCCATAGAATATTGGTCTTTCTAACTACCTCCACTACTTTTTAAATAATGTACATGTGAGATTTTGGCACACAAAGAGATTGGTAAGTTTTTCTTTGAGATAAGAGCAAGGAAGATAAGAATGGTCCTGTTACTGCTGATAAGTTTATGAATAGTGAGGAGGGAAGTTGGGAGAGTTCATGCTTAAAGGCTTTTAGAGGATGAGAAGAGCTATGAGAAAAGGAGGAACTGTATCAGTCAGGATGGACTAGGTTCCAGGTTACACAATGGTAATAACTTCAGAATCTCAATGTGTTAACACAGTTTGTTTCTTGCTCACAATTCATGTCCAGTGGAGGTCAGGGTGGAGTCTCAGGAACCACTCAGGGCCCCAAGCTAATGAGGTAGGGTGAGGCAGGGGAGGTGAAGGAAGATACAATATGGAGAATCACCTGTAAGCTCTTAGAACTTCAAACTAAAAGTAACATATGCACTTCTAGTTACATCTCTTTGGCCCAGACAAGTCTTCTAACCACGCCTAATTTCAAAGAGAGTAGAAAAGTGCAGTTTTATAGATGTCTGGAAATTAGTCAAAGTATGTGTGAACAGCCTTAATGACTAGCGGGAGAATTAAGAACCAATAGACTGATAACAGCCTTCTGGAAAAGTTCAGTTTGGAAGCAATAACTATGTAATGGTGTGGGATGGTTATAGGTGGTTTGTTAGCAACACATAGCAGCCTAGAAGCAAAGAAAATTAGATGCTTGAATGTATACAGGATTCAGGATTATTATGGGGAGCACATACCTGAATGATTTGGGGGAGAGGGATCGAGGAAGATGATGAGCAAAGGGATTATTGATATTGCAATCAAAGACAATGTTTTCAAATTTTAGAATTCAAAGGAAGAGAAGGGATATAATTTTTCATAATAAAAGATAGCCATGAACAGCAAGTTTTAAAGTTTTTTAGTGTTTATCATCCTTAAAGCTTTCGTGGAGATTATTTTTCAGGTTGCACGCATTGAATGTGATTAAATGTTAAATTATTTTGTTTTCATCAAATGGTATAATATCAGAAGGAAACACTTATATTAAGGAAATAACCTTCCTTCCCCATATTAGAATGTCTCACCTGATAAAATCTGATAAAAGTCCGGTAACCAAGTATTGCAGGAAACAGTAAAAGGTTGGCCAGAAATCACAGCAGAAGTCAGTGAGATTGAACAATAAGTGCAAGTTCAGTACTCTTTACAAAATGATGCTTGCTTCCTGATAGTTATAAAAACATAAGATCATGGAGATTGTGATGGTCAAAAGTGCATTGCTATAAGAGTTTTGCAGTGGATTATTATGAAAGAGTGTCTATGTAATACACTTAAAAATCTTTTTTATTGTGGTGAAATATACATAACAAAATTTACCATTCTAGGCGGGGCGCGGTGGCTCACACCTGTAATCCTAGCACTCTGGGAGGCTGAGGTGGGTGGATTGTTTGAGCTCAGGAGTTCGAGACCAGCCTGAGCAAGAGCGAGACCCCATCTCTACTAAAAATAGAAAGAAATTGGCCAAGTAAAAATATATAGAAAAAATTAGCTGGGCATGGTGGCGCATGCCTGTAGTCCCAGCTACTTGGGAGGCTGAGGCAGAAGGATCTCTTGAGCCCAGGAGTTTTAGATTGCTGTGAGCTAGGCTGACGTCACAGCTCTCTAGCCCGGGCAAAAACAGAGTGAGACTCTGTCTCAAAAAAAAAAAAAATTACCATTCTATTTTTAAGTATATAGTGTAGTGTCATTAAATACATTCACATTGCTATGTAATCATCACCACCATCCAGCCCCAGAATTTTTTTACCTTCTTAAACTGAAATTCTCTACCTATTAAAGAACAACTCCCCACTCTCTTCTTCCACCAGCCCCTGGTAACCACCATTCTACCTTCTGTCTTTGAATTTGAGTACTTCCTAAGGGTGGAATTATACAAGATTTGTCCTTTTGTGTCTGGATTATTTCACTTAATATAATGACCTGAAGGTTCATCCATGTTGTAGCACGTATCAGAACTTTATTCCTTTTTAAGACTCAATGATATTCCATTGTTTGATATACTACATCTTATTTATCCCTTCATCGGTTGCTGGACATTTGGGTTGTTATCCCTTTTGGCTATTGTGAATAATGCTGCTGTGAACATCGGTGTGTTTAAGTCCTCACTTTAGTTCCTTTGAGTATGTACCCAAAAGTGCAATTGCTGGATCCTGTTGTATGGTTTTATGTTTAATTTTTTGAGGAACCACGATACTGTTTTTCATGGCAGCTGCTCCATTTTACATTCCCACCAGCAAAGGGTAAGGGCTCCAGTTTCTCCATATCCTTGTTAATGCTTCTTATTTTCTTTTTTTAAAAATAAGTATCTTATTGTGGTTTTATGTAACCCACTCTTTACTTAACTAAATTACACCGTTTTAAAGTTATTTTTTATTTAATAACCTTCAGAGCCTACCGTTGTTCTCTAAGCCAGTCTTTGACTTGAGAGCTGTCTGTGTTGCGTTGCACCATGTAGTATCTGTGTGTGTGTGTACTCTTCTCCTCTAGTCTGGGACTGAGAATATGTGGAAAAGCAATATAGGAATTATTCCCCAAATTAAAACTTGCCTTGCATAGTTCCTGGCCCCAAGGCACAGTTTAGTTTAATTCTGTGACTGTATGATTTTCTTGGTTCTCTTCCATTTTTCATTTATAAAATGAGGGCACAGTTCCATTATTAACCGGTAGAATCATTTTTCTGTCAATAGCTAAAAGATTTAAAAAGTTAAGGATCTTTAACATTTTTTATTTCCATATTTTGTTTGATATATAAATCCTTTTTAATATTAGTCTATGCAAGTGTATTTGATGGTAGAGAACCAAAATTTTTAATAATGCCATTATAGTTATTTCATTTTTCCCCCATTAATAAAGATAATTATATAGGTTCATCTTCTATATCATTATGGATTCTGCAAAAATTCATCTCTTTGCTGCCTAAAGCTGTTGTTTGGGCACATTGTTGAAATCACCATGATGCCTCTTATAATGTTTTAGCTACTCTTTTAAAATGGAACTCCAATTGGAGGAATTGCAAATGCCTTACATTACATTCAAGACAGAAGAAATGATTTGTTCAAAATCATGTGGTCAGGAGAAGGCACCACATGTTTGAAGAATACAGATAGATTGGTATATGCAGTGCTGGAGTGTACACGTGGAAATCATGAGATGATGGCAAGAAGGAGAGTTAGAAGACAGATCATGATGAAACTTTGTGAGATAGATATATACATATATTATTTTTTTGAGACAAGATCTTGCTCTTTTGCCTGAGATAGAGCGCAGTGGGGTCATCATAGCTCACTGCAACCTCAAAGTCCTGGGTACAAGCGATCCTGCTGCCTCAGCCTCCCACGTAACTGAGACTGCAGGTGTGTACAACCATGCCCGGATAATTTTTCTGTTTTTTTGTAGCGATGGGATCTTGCTATGTTGCTCAGGCTGTTTTGTGCTATTTTTTAAATCATTACAGGAAGTGGAGAGGCACCAAAGGACAAGGAGAGTGGCAGGCTCCAACTTGGCATTTTAGAAAAGATTGGTGGCAGTGTAGAGAGTGAATTTGGGGTAGTGGGAGAAAAATTAGTTAGATGGCTATTGTAATAGCCTAGGAAAGAAAAGATGAGGGCGTGCACTAAGGCAGTACTAGTGTCAAGAAAGAAGATTTGAGAGACTCTAAGCACATGCAGGCAGAAGAATCAGTTCGCTTTTGTGGCAGATGTACAGAGTGAGGGAAGGGGAGGAGGCCGGGATAGATGTATTTGGACTTACATAACTAGATATACCATCTACCAAAAGGAGAAGAAGGAACAGTTTTTGGGGGGGTGTGGAGGGATGCCAGGTTTATTTTTGAATTATTGAGTTTATCATCTAGGTAAGTAAGATTAATTAGGCACATAGGAACATAAGTCTAGGACTCAGGAAAGATATATTTGGTCACCATCAGCGTATATAGGAATTGAGTGCCATAGACAGACAAGACCATTCAGGAAAATTGGAAATTGAAGGGCAAAAAATAGACAAAGTAAGGAGCCTGGGGTTGGCTGAGGAAGAGAGGTGAGGTAAGGCAAGAGAGAGGGGGCAGTTGTGGAAAGGTATGACAAGGAATAGGTAGAAAGGTATGAGCAAATACTGGAGAGGGGCTACACAGGAAAGCCAGAGGAATGGAGAGCTTTAGGGGAAGAGCAGCCACAGATTAAGCAGAATAAGGATTAAAAAGTGCCAGTTTGATTTAGTTTGTAGTCATTAGTGGTAGAGTAAAAGCAGTGTTAGAGGAGCATTAGCAATAGAAGCAAGATTGAGGTAGAGCTGAAGCATTTAGA